GCCACTTTCCAGACCTTTGTGTCCTGTTGGCCTTGGAGCACTTTCCAGGTCCAGAGCCGTGGCAAAGCCGCAGTCTCTGAAGACTCTCCGTGTGATTGGGCCGGCCGGGCGCTGGGACCATTGGGCGCCATTTGGAGTCTTTTCATTGGTTTACCATGGAAGAGGAGGAAGCGCTGAGTGTCGGCGCTCTTCCCTCGGCCTCCACAGAGACCGCGAGAACCCTGACAAGCTCCTCCCCTCTCAAACGGCTTCAAGCCTTGTCACCCTTCTGAGGCCTTTGTTACCATTGTGAGGGACGTACATGAGGACTCATAGCCGAGAGACCCTTCTACAACATTCTTCTCATAGGACGCATGTCATCTGCCAAATTCTAACCCACGAGGTGAAGGCCATGGGAAGGGTTCCCAACTGGAGGATCCCTCGGAGTCTGCGCGGCTTGTCCCGGCCAACAATGAAGCGTGAACGGTGCCGGCTCATCACATGGAATATTTGGGCCCAATCGTAGACGCAGCTCAGGCCTGCGTTTCTCTTCCCCGGGAGCTTTGCTCTGGACCTGGGCGAGTCATTTCATCTTGGGCAGAACTTCACGTCACAGCCTTGCCCCCTATTTAGCCCGGAGGGGGACAACTAGCATGCAAACTGCCTCAGCCGGCAGCACCAGGACCCCGGGGAATGATCCCTACACCTGGAGGAGTCCCGGGACCTGTGTCACAGGTGGGACCTCCAGACATGGACCTCCAAGCTGGCAGAAGCAGTGGCCGCCCTTGTGGCTCCATGTAGCTTCATCCTAGGCCCCTCCTCCCCAGAAACTGCGTTATTGTTTGCTGCGCGGGATGCTGAGGGCAGATGTGGAGATCTTATGATCAGCTGCGTCTTCTGTCCCAGGGGTCATCCTGGCGCCGAGTCCTTTCTACAAACGGGCCGGGATCAGTATTTGGCCATAAGATCCCGGCAGCTTCCCGTTCTTGGATTGGACGTTGGTCCCGCGTGATCCTCGGCGACTGTAGGATCTGGTTCTCTCAGCGACCACCTTCTGCGCCTATCGGGGACATTCCGCTTTGCGCTCCCACCCACAGGGGGGAATATCCAAAATGGGGACCTCACCCTACAAGGAACCCGCTCAGGTCTTGGACGGGGCGGTGTGGAGGGGCCCGGAGTCTCATTTTGCCCCTCTGAGGCATTTCACCTCCACCAGGACTTCTGTCCAGCGCTGGTTCCTCCGGATCTCTCCCGCAAGTGCTTCGTGATGACCGACTCTCCGCCATTCCCAATGGTCCCCATAAAGAGAACCCGCTTCTTGCGCCATCGTCTCTCATTGGCTGGGACAGGTCGTCTCTCATTGGCTGGGACAGGTCGTCTCTCATTGGCTGGGACAGGTCATCGTTCAGCATCGAGCTGGTCACATGTTCTGGCTTTATCTGATTCCAGCTTTGGGCGGTCCCGGTTCTGTCTTGGTACTGTGGCCCCACCCGTCAGCTGGACTGGTTTTGGACATCCCGACACGGGGTTTGTGCACTTATTGTAGAATCCATTTCCTGTAGCTCATTGAGGGCCCCGGGCCCCTCCTCTCTGGGTCTATCTTGGTGCTGAAGCATTCTGGGAGTGGGACGGGTTATCTACTCCTCATGACCTTATCACGTGCTCAGAGACCCGGATGGATGATCGGCGACACAGACCGCTGACTCTTACCATAGCGGCACCTCGGCCTGCTTTGTAGTTACAAGCTCCGCCCATCCACCCCGCCCCTCTGTTAATAATAGGCGGGCCATGGTTCCGCTAGTCCCGCCCATCTCTGCAGCGTGGTGATTGCAGGCCGCATGTTTCACTCTATACACCGGATTATTGTGTGTTTGTATGCTTAGCGCTGTCATGTGACCGGTGGGCGCGCTGTCATGTGACCGGTGGGCGCGCTCCCAGAATTCCATGCGTGTGAATATTGCGGGTGTCTCGGGATTTGGTTTTTGTGATTTGACAATAAAGTCAGAATGACCGATCCGCGTCGTCTCTGTTTATTGTTGGGATCGGCGGGGGAGGGGTGCACAGCGCAGCGCGGGGGTATTAGGGGTAGTAGGTGACTGCGGTAAGTGCTCATAGAATCTATATAAGAATATGAATTGTGGGCACACAAGGGGGGGAGG